CTTGTGCCCATGCCTGCGCTAATCTAGGGCCAACAGACATGGACTGCGTGGTAGAGGGAAGGCGTTATCGCTACCCAGCCATTAGGCTACAATGGTTAATGGACGGAACCGGACAACCATTTGACGTCGCCCTGTTTTTCGCATTCTCCCGCGTCGTATTCAAAAAGAGAGGTTCGCAACAGTGGCGCGTCCCAGATGTCCCTCGGGAATACCTGGGCAAAACTCTTGCAGCCTACGCCGACACAAAGATTAGAATGTATGGATACCCTAATGGATCTCCCGCTTTCCTAGATGCGGTAATTACCGAAACTGTGGAAGCAGAAGCTTGCTACTTCGCAGGGCAAGCATCACACAGCTTTCTTTCCGCTACGCCGACGCCTGAGTCTTTAAAGTTGACGTGTGGGGGGCTATCTGGATCTCCAGTTGTGAGCTTAAAAGGAGATTTTGTCAAGTGTCGCTATTAGAGGCCGTCATGTGAGCAATGAGCTTGAATTGTTGATGGTTCCTGCTGTGCTGTTCATGAACTTCGTGTTAAGCGGCACCAACCGCGCTCCACATCTCGGGCCGATCCGCTATCGGAAGCTGCTGATAAACACATGGTGGAGGGGCGTTCGAACGAATATCCGCAGACACCAAGCAAATGTGCTGGCACAACTATCGAAGACTATACCGCTACCAAAGAGCCTCTGTTAGCAATATTTAATATTCTTCTTCTTGTTGTTCAAGGTTTAACGGTCGGAATTTTCATCACGTGATATCGTTGTGCCCTGCAACCCCGTGACCAATCTGGGTTTGTTGTTGCCGTTGGAGTGCGTCAACGCGCAACTCCAACACCGTAGGTCATTACCAACACTAACGTCCATCCCTGCGTGGCGCTATCCCTGCGTAAAACTGCTCGACCAACGCCTTCCGCCACAACGAATTCAACAAGAAGTGGAAGGCCTTAATAGCCTCGGAATGAACGCTCAAAGCCGCAAATTTTATCCTGAACTTCCTATCCTTGTATAAAGCCTTCTACATACTAAGTAATACGGCGACTCGTTGCGTACGACAGTGAGAGCTGCACTCCGGAGAGCGTCGGATAAGCCAGATATTTCAGTCGCTCGCTCTAGACTTCTTAACTTATGGAAACATGCAAAGATCGCGTACCCAGCATAGCACCCCAATATCTGACGCTGTTACGCTAAAAACCGAGTGACACGTCGCCTATAAGCGTCTCCGGCCACTACTGCTATCCATTTACATTCGTATAATAAGGAGGCGGAGCTTGCGTCATTGACACTAAGCGAGGCGAAGTGTGACGCGACAGAGTAACTTATGTGAGGTCTGTCACGTTCCATGTATCAGTCAAGACTTCCTAACTGGGCGTAGCAGCGGCTTTGGGGCCGCTAAGGAGTGCACAACCGAGTAAAATTAACCAACCATCAAATCCTTTATATACCACTCTTCTGCAGCCCTTCTCAATTGATCGAACAATATGGGGCAAGATTGTTAGGCCAGGAGCAAATGAAACATCCCAACTGTATGCCTTAAGATCTGCTCACAGTATATCCACGCACTCCCTACTCTCAACTCTCTCGCATTTCATGCTAAGTTACCCGAACTACAGTTGTGTCAACCGCCCAGAATCAACGCCACGCACCGCCCAGACGAACCTATATATAAATCGCGGTGTCCTCTGCTCGAACGATGCCGACGATCGTCGATGACACCCTCCCGACCTCGTCGGTCTCGCATTTCTACGCAGACGAAAAGAAGAGCGGAGGCATATTCACCACGATGCGAACGTTGTCATCATCGGCGCTGGCGTCGCGGGTTCCACCCTCGCTGTCGCGCTTGGTGACCAGGGCCGCAGCGTCATATTGCTTGAGAAGAATCTGAAGCAGCC